CAAAGAGTTGGATGCAACTGAAATGACTGAATAGCAGAATCTGATCCTATCTTTTTTTTTTCCAACCACTCAAAGACAGAGAAAGGAAAAACGTATAATGGGAGCTAATTTTTCTTTTGATTAGCTGCTCTGAAAGTAAATCTACACATCTCTCTGTTCACCTGTAATCATGGAACCCAACTACCATCTGACTTCAAATCTGATTATGTGCTTGTCTATGACCCAGTGAAGGTCACATTCCCATTTCATTCCTCCTTAGAGGTCTAGCTATGTGACTAAACCTTTGTCTGTATCTGGTAAGGATCCTCCTTCACCCTACATAGAATGTGAGACTCTTGAAAGCAAGACATTTATCTAATAGAATAGTGGTTCTCAACCTTTTGGTCTTAGGACCTCTTTAAAATCTTAAAAATTGAGGACTTCCCAAGAGATTTATGTTTATGGGAGTGATAGCTATTAATATTTATTCAAAATTAAAATGTCTTGTATTATTATGAAAGTAACGTTGACCTTTTAGGCTCTCTGAAATCACCTAAGGGAGTCCCAGGGGTTCCCAGACTTTATTTTGAGAACTTCTGTAATAGAGGCAAGAAATATTTAGGGATCACAAAACCTGGGTTTCAGTTCTCCTACTTTGTTGGGACTAGCTGTCCTGAAGTTATTCAATCTATAAAGTGTGTAACATAATGCCTGCATTTCATCACGGGGCTGGTGAGGAATTAGTGCACTGAAAGATATGAAATCACTTCAGAAAAACAAATGGTACTTTAAAATATCAGGGAAAGGGGTTAGAATTATGATTTAATTGTTACAGGGAACTCCAAGGTAAGGAAATTCCCTCCACCAGGCCACAGGAGCAGAGGGAGAAGGTGCTTGACTGATCTAGTCTCAGACACTCACTAGACATGTGACCCTGGGCAAGTCACTTCACCTGGTGGGGTCCCAATTGTGCAAAAGCCATAAAATACAGTAATAAGTGAAAAGCCATAAAATTTAAAACTCTGTGATAGGTGGAAGCCCGAACATGGCGACCTGTTTAGAATCATAACTTAGATACTGAATTATATTTTAGACACTGAGTCATAACTTAAGATACTATGACCTATGAAAGCCATAATAAGAATATTGTGAGCTATATGTGACTGGTACATGATAGATAACACCAACTTATGTTTGAGCATAACATTGGCTTTAACTCCCAAGCTCATCACTAAGCAGAAAACCAAAAATATCCACCAGTGGATAGTGATACATTCAATAGTTCCTCCTCCCCTTGTCTGTTTTCTATAATTACCTTGGGGATTTTGGGGGTTCTTAGTGAAGATTAACTGAATGATCTGGCTGCCACCCCAGACTGAGGATAATTAATATCTTAGTGGGAATTCACTGAACTGTCTGGCCACTACCCCAGACTGAAGATTGCCCTGTTTTGTAAGTATTCATAATGACTGATTAAACTACTATCTATAGGTGGCGCAGTGCATAGAGCACCAGCCCTGAAGTCAGGAGGACCTGAGTTCAATTCCGGCCTCAGACCAAACACTTGACACTTACTAGCTGTGTGACCCTGGGCAAGTGGCTTAACCCCAATTGCCTAAAAAAACCAAACAAACAAACAAAATAAACTACTACCTATAATCAGCCTGGAGATACTTGGCCTCTTCCTTTGGTATTAAAAAGAACACTCCACAGTTATGGGGGAGGTATGGGGTTCCCCATTCAGGGGAATTCCAGACCTTAAAACCTCCAACTGCCTCAGTTTCCTCATCTGTAAAATAGAGACAATTATAGTACCTACCTCTCAGGGTCGTTGTAAGGATCATATGAGGTGATATTTATAAAGTGCTTTGCAAACTTTAAAGTGCTACCTAAATTCTAGCTATTATTATTTAATGCACAGGAAACCGGGCCTTGTTTGACTGCCTAGCATAGCAGTTCTTAAAGTGTGGTCTAGTGACCCTTGGTGCTCCCAAGACCCTTTCAGGGAGTCTGCAAAGTTGAAACTATTTTTTTGATGATTTTTAAATTTCTAATAGGGTAAATGCCCGTAGGTGTAACCAACATGAAGAAAAACTCTTTGTGGGGGGAGGGAGTCCTCAATAACTTTTAAGAGTGTAAAGGGAGCTTGAAACCAAAAAGTTTGAGAACTGCTGGCCTAGCATATGACCACATGTTAACGTATAATATGATTGTTCTCAGTTGCCCTACTTCTTCAAGGGAACAGCTCCCTAACTCTATGGGAAAGAGTCCTTGCTTTGTTATGTTTAAGGCTATGCCAGTATCTCTCTCCACTCCAAATATTTCCCTTATTGGAATCTGACTACACCTATATATCCCTCACTGAACTCACAATGTGTGTGTCTATGTGTGTGGGTGAATAAATAGTGTGTACCTATGTATATATGTGTGTGTATGATACCTTGTAAATTGTCTTAAGCTTTTCCCCATCAATCAATCAACCAAACAGTCAGACCACATTCATGTTATGTGCCAGGCACCAGCTAGGAGATGTAGGTGGTAGAGATAAAAAAGTCAAAAAGAAATTGTTCCTGCCCTCAAGGAAGGATGTGTAGGAGTAGTTTCCCTATTGGTCCATTATCCCTTCCACATCACAACTTTCCCTGTGGTGGTTTAATACATCACGGGTCAGCATAAGAAATTAAAAGGGAATTTTGATGGAGTTTTGAGAAAGCTGCAGATGATGCATAAAGGCCAGCAGATGATACAGAAAAAAGTTTAGGCTCTCAGAAATGCATAAAATAAATGTATAGTATCATATAATATCAACATATTTTATCTCTTCATACCATAATAATTCAGACTTCTTCTCTGGTGTGAAAGGAGAGCTACAAAATTTTACTTGGATTTTCTAGATCACAGAGGCGCCACGCCCTTAATCCCTGGGATGTGAAGGGGATAACTGTACTTTTCTCTCCTGTCGTCCTACTTCCTAACTCATCATTTTTGTTGATGTATTCATAAGGATGAGCAGGAGATGCTGATAACCCTAGATATAAGGTCAACAATTCATTGAAATCTTCATCCCCAGGGACCTTCCAGTTGTATCCCCAAGTACAGAGAGAGTGTCAAATCCTCTATTCTTTTTTTTTTTTTTTGCTTTTTGGTGAGGCAATTGGGGTTAAGTGACTTGCCCAGGGTCATACAGCTGGTAAGTGTCAAATGTCTGAAGCCAGATTTGAACTCAGGTCCTCCTGACTCCAAGGCCAGAGCTCCATTCACTGCACCACTTAGCTGCCCTAAACCTTCTATTCTACCACCAGAGTTGAGAGTTTGGACTTGTAAGAAGCCCAAATAACTCTGGTGGGAAGGAGGCGATAACTGTACTCACTCCAAAATCTGGCTAGTACTATTTTCATTATTTCAATATTTGCTCCTGATGAAAGGTTTATTGTTTCAGTTTCAGATCTTTGCCTGGTATGTAGCACCTGGCACATAACAAATACTTGTTGGTTATTTGATTGTTTTTATTAGCATAATAATCTAGGCCTAAATTAACTTCAGAAATTACCAGTTTCCAGACAGGGTGGGGGCAAACAAGCCGTGCTAGGTGAGTTATCAGTCAAAGTCTCCACTGTTAGAAACCCACCCATTCAGGTCCACAGAGCAGAGAAAAACATAGATTATATGGTGAGAGCTACACTGAGATCACCACTGATGATTCCAGGTCCAGCTGAGGTTGCTTTTATGAGAATTAGTGCAGCTCTATGTGACTCTGGGTCCAAAGGACTCACAAACATACAGACAATTGAACTCACTATGCTGTAGCAGTAGGGGATTCCAAAAAGCTTGTTTCCCTTGCAATGCTCTGGAATTTTTGTCAATGGCTTATAAGCTTGAGGTGGTTGATTTCAGGTAGCATCAAACTGGCAATTTTCTGGTGAAGCTGTAAGGCACAAGATGATGACATATCATTGTGTTCAGGGGGCTCAGCTGGCAGAAGCAGAGGATGCCTCCGTCCTTTGGAATACTTATCTTCTTCTTTCAAAGCTCAACTCCAGAGTCAGCTCCTACAACCCCAGCTGATGGTGTCAATCCTGAAATAATTTTGTGAGTAAACTTCCTACATATTTTGCATTTAATGATGTGAGTTCATATAATTTCCTCTAATAGAATGTAATAAGACATTTGAGGGCAGACTTTCATTTTTGTCTCTGTCTCCCCAGAAGCTAGCACGTGCCTGCTATTTAGTTGGAGCTAGACGAATGATTGTTGTGGCTTGGTTGTGTCTGACTCTCTGTGATCCCATTTGGGGTTTACTTGGTAAAGATACTGAAGTGATTTGCCATTTCCTTCTCCAGCTCATTTTACAGATGAGGAAACTTAGGCAAACAGGGTTAAATGACCTGCCTAGGGTCATATAGCTAGTGTCTGAGGCTGGATTTGAACTCAGATCCTCCTGGCTCTAGGCTTGGCACCTGAATAAATAAATAAATATTGAATAAATAAATAAATGAGTAGGTGATAGAAAGGGACATGGGAAATTGGATATGTGGATTCAATGCCCTACTGAAAAGGGGAGCCATATGTCCATGCATGGATGAACTTTTCCTCTTCTATCTCATGTCTCAATGCTTCAGGTAATAGCCAGTTCTTGACTTTGTTCATATCCCTAGCACTTAGCATAGTGCATGGCACATGGTAGGCACTTAATAAATGCTTATTGGCTGACTGAGTATTGAAAGGGACCATGAACAAGGAGAGGGATAGCTAACTGATAAGAACCAACAGGAATTTGAGTGTCTGATACAGAGCCAAGGCAGGGTATCGCTTGTGTCTAGGGTCTCCTCCCAGCTCCACGGCACCTTTGTCTGTCTCTGAGGGCCTCTGGCCTGCCTGCACTGACTGGTCCCCTAAACATGAGCAGGACAGCAGCTCTGTCTGCAGGAGGACAAGGGACAGGTGGTGTTTTATGATGTCAGGGCCACTTCAGCACCTCTGTCCGGGCTGAGAGACCCAAGGTTTCAGTGCTGCACTAAGTATGTAAGGAAAAAACATCTATTTTTCTCTGTTTCCCAGCACACAGGCCTCTCCAGAGAGAGTGCTTACTCTTGTGAAATGACTGGATTTTTCTTTTAGTTACTTCAAAATTCTACAGACCCAGTCCCTAACTCAGTAAGCCTTTCCCTAGTGGAAAATCTTAAAACTGCATAGAACCAGAAGCAAGAATCGGGCTGGATGAGAGTGCTGGTCATTAGGACATTTGAAATACCCTGCTCTCCTTAGAAGTTCCTAATGGTAAGGTCCTCTGGGACTGACTCTGATTGCAGAAGAATAGTTTCCCCAGGGACTAATGTGATGGATATTCTTGTGGGGCAAAAGAAAAGGGAAGGAAATCTGTGCTCAACAGTGAGAACACAACATCGGTGGACAGTCAGCCCAGGGGCAGACCTCAGGTTCCAGCTCCTGGACCCTACAGTGCAACTTGCGTCTGACTTATGGAAAGTACAGGACCAGGACGACTTCTGAATGGATTCTGACAATGGGGAGGGGGAGGCTGGAGTGGAAGTGGAAGACTGTGTTGGGAGAGTTTAGAGCTGGGGTTCTTAAGCTATTTTGTGATGTACCTCCTTTGGCAACCTAGTGAAGCCCATGGACACCTCCGCAGAATAGTGTTTTTAAATGTATACAATAAAATATGTAGGATTAAAGGAAACCAATTATATATTGAAATAGAATTGTTAATTTTTTTCCAAGTTCTTGGACCTCAATTAAAAATCCCCTGATTTAAAAGGCAGGACTAGAGATGAACTAGGCCAAAGATCCAAACTGCAGATGTGATATTCCAAAGTAACTTCAGCTTAATATCTTAGGGAATATGCGAGATATTCACAAAATGAGGATTGTAATTTCAAGGTAGAATCAGAATGAGTTCCAGTAATTTCTGAGTTAATTCAGGCCTAGTTTTCTAGTTGCTTATTATGCAATAAGTTCTAGCTAGGGACCAGATACTATGCTAACTGCTGGTAGTGAGGATGAGACTAGGAAGATGCCTTGAAAGCAATGATTAAATTCAACTCTTTCCTCCACACTGTTGAAGCCAGACTTAAATAAAAACTAAAGCTAGCATACGAACAAAGCTCTTAAGGGCAGCTGGTGGTGCAGGAGATGAGCTAGCCCTGAAGTCAGGAGGACCCGAATTCAAATCCAGTCTCAGACACCTATTAGCTGTGTGACCCTAGGCAAGTCACTTAACCCTGTTTGCCTCAGTTTCTTCATCTGTAAAATGAGCTGGAGAAGGAAATGGTAAGCCACTCTTTGCCAAGAAAACCGCAAATGTTCATGAGTGTAAATACTCAATAACAAAAAACTGTTAAAAATGATGGAGCAGCTAGCAGAATTAGGTTAAAAAAAGATATCTCCTGTTGATATGTTGGCTGGTTTTGCTGAACTTGCTTCTTTTTTTCTTTTTCTTTTAGTTATTTGTTAAAGTCTGGGTACGTGTGTGTATGTATGTTATATTTGAAAATGAAGATGATGTAAAAATAAAGATATCAACCAAAAAAAAAAGAAAAAGAAAAGAATTGCCCTAGGCAGGGTAGGGCTACCCTGTAAGGGACATCAGTTGTTAGTAGTCAGAACTTTACAATCTTTCATTAATATGTTATTTTCTCAAGGAGACCTTTAGAGGAAGAATAGAGGTCAGAAGGCCCAGGACATCTCCGAAAGGTGAGAACTTCGGTTTTCAGGCATCTCAGCCAGACTCCCATCACATAGAGATGATACCACAGTGCACCAAAAAGAGCATTGAAAATGGAGTCAAAGCATCTGGATTCTCCTTGCACCTCTCTCATTTTACTTTTGTAAGCAAATTGTTTGACCTCTCAGAGCCTCGGTTTACTCAGCTATAAAATGGGGAGAAGTGAACAAGATGGTTTCCAAGGTCCCTTCCCACTCAAGATAGAATGTCTCAACCATTTCTTGTGTTGCTCATCCAATTGTTCTCGATGCTGTAAATTTCTGATATAATATAGTAGAGAGAACAATGGTTCAAATATCAAAAAACCTGAGGTCTAATGCTACCGCTGCCTCTTATTAGTTGTATGGACTTTGGTTAAATCAGATGGAGGCAGCTGGTGGCACAACAGTTAGAGTGCTGGGCCTGGAGTCTGGAAGACTTGAGTTCAAATCTAGCCTCAGGCATTTACCAGCTGTGTGGTTCTGGGCAAATCATTTAACCTTTCTGTCCACACATTTCCTCATCTGTAAAATGGGGATAACAGTAGCACCTATTTCCTAGGATTGTCGTGAGACTAAAATAAGACACTCATGTGGTAAGATAAAATAATGTATTTGCAAGTCTTAAAGTGCTACATACATGTTAGTTATTATAATTAAGTCACTTAAATGCTCTGAAACTCAATTTTCTAGATTTCCATTCCTGTCTGCACCATTTACTAGCCACACATGTGACTTAGATCAAAGTACTTAAGCCCTCTGGGTCTCGGTTTTCCTCATTTGCAAAATGACAAAGAAAAATACTTGTACTTCCTGCCTCACAGAGCTGTAGGAAAAAACAAGTGCTTTTTGGTTTTGTTTCATGTTCGTTTGGTTGGTTGGTTTTTTGGGTTTTTTTGGGGGGGAAAATAGCATTATTAAATAAATGCAATCCCTTTCTTTGCCTGATATTTTCCTTAAGTACAATGAACCACCTATATGGAAAAAATGAGTATATGTGAAAGTGCTCTGAATATGATAAAGTGGCTGTAACAAATGTAAGTTATGTCCTCACTGTCGCTTCTACTGCTCAATGTCCCATAGCTGCCTTTCCCATAGACCCTGCATGTATAGATATACATATAGGTACACATACATGTGTATAAACACATAGATAAGTACATGTGTATATAAACATGTAAACATATACATATGTATGTTTAAATATAGAGATATACATGTGTGTATAAATATAGGAAATGTGTATATAGACATAGAAAATTCATACCTATATGTATGTGAATATATACATCTATAAATACATGTATAAATATATAACATAGACACATGTGTATAAATACATGAAATATGTGTATAGATATATAAAATATACATGCATGTATGTGAATATATAAATATAGGTATATAAATACATAAAACATATACATATGCATATAAATATATGGAATATGAATGTATAGGTATATAAAATATGTGTGTGAATATATAAATATACACATACATATATAAATATATACATAATACATGTATGTGTATATATAATATATACAAAACATTGGTTCCTCTCACTCACATAGTTTCTCCTTCATCAACAGAACTGGTCCCTTTCTCTAGAAGAAGCCCCTATTGCCAGGCTCCTACTGACGCTGTTACCATGCCCCCCTCACCGGATTTCACCACTGTGGAAACAAAGTAATAGGTCCATGATGAAGCAGATGTCCCACATCAACCACTGGTCCAGAATCATTAAACAATCATCCCCTCCCAGCTCCTGGACCAAAACCTCGTCCTCACCATGGCTCCAACATCTAGTTACAACTCCACAGCTTCCTCATGCCTCACACAAAACAATGGTGGTACCGTTAGGCCATCTTCATCGCCAGGCTACAGCTAAATCATCCACACCGCACAGAAGGCATCCTCTGGCGCAGCCAAGCCTTTTCCTAGGGCCGATATTGGGACCAGGAAAACAGACGTGTCATTAAAAGCTGATAAACAACATCTTACACTTCTAGTTAGCTCCAAACACCAGCCTGAGTCTCCATTGCTCCCTGATCACCAGACAATGAATTCTTCAGGCCATTACTGTCACCTTCCTAAGATTTACCAATGCTGTGACCAACCAGCGGAGAAGCTACCAAACTTCAACCAGAAACCCCTAATTCCATCACTCCCCAACTGCCAAACCTCTGAGGTTCCACCCTGTGAGGATCACAAGACCAAGGCTGAAGCTATCCTCAGTACATTCCCAGACTGCCAGGACCCAGCCACACTTGCCACAATGAGCCCCAGGCACCAGGATGAAACTTCACTAAAATCTAGGCAGAGCCTTATCCACAAGAAGCATGTCATAATCATACCATCCTGTGATAACCAGTACTATTCTTGGGCTACAGCTTTTGAATCACCAAGTGAAGCCCAACATTCTAAGACATCGCATCCTAACCTATACGCTAAGGAAACAGTATCACTGTTAAGATGTGCTGACCATAAGATACCCAGGGCCCTGGGTGTAACTCCATCACATCTGGAGCAAAGAACTAGAGATACATCAGCACCCAGCCCTGAAGAGCAGGCTGAGAATATATTGGCCCCCATTGCCCAAGCCCCATTTCCAATGAGAGGTAGAATGCTGGGAAATGACACCATCAAAGATGGACCAACAGGCTGCAGTTGTAACAGGCCAGGATCATGGAACAACATCTCCACCAGTCTTAGATCCCCAGGATAAAACTTTACCTGGACTTGACTCCTTAGATACCTCTCAAGTGAACCTTAATTGGCTGGCTAAGGAATTTGAGCATGGGAAGGTGATGCCACCAAAAACAGACCACCAGGCTGCCCCACAAACAGATCCTGATTATGGAAAAGCATCTCCACTAGGCACAGAGGAAAAAATTCTACCTGACCCCAATCGTGAGGCCACAACTCAAACCAGCCCTGACCACCAGGATAAGGATATGTCAAACCTGATTTCTCAAGGCAAAGTCGATGTCTCAACTCAAACAGAAGAGTACTGGGAAACAAAGTCACTAGAAACAGATCACCAGAACACAATTCTAGACCAACATCATGAGACGACACCTCTTATGAGCTCATCAGTCTCCCGGGATACAACTTTCCCTGGCTTCCACCAGGCTCCATATCCACCTGGCCATGATCACCAGTTGGAAGTTGCTCCAGACCCCAACACTCAGGCTTCATTTCCACCAGACTACATAAAATTGTCAGGGAGTCCAGAAAACCAATTTGCACCTAGGCTCAACACTCTACCCAATCACGAAAACCAGGAGAAGTCTGTATCAGATTACCAGCAGAATCACACACCTCCAACTAGTCTGAATGATCAAGAAACAGCTCAACCAAGATCCAACTGCAGGACTAGATCCCAACAGAAACCAGCCATCAGACACTAAATTCTAACCATCAAGACCAGGTTCAAAATGGGCTCCAACATCAAGCCCACACTGTACCAAAAAGACAAGGTCCACGGGGTTTTAACTACATCAAACCGTACATTATTAAGGGGGTCTCTGTGCCTGCTAAAATTGTTCATGCCGTCATCAATTCCATCCCTCAGGAGAAAATAAAAAATGACATCAACAAGCTGATTCTCTTGTGGAGGACTGAAGAATCTCCAACTCATTGGGCCCATCAAGTCTTTTCCAGTAATTATTTGGTCTGTTTAATTTGTGCCTCCTGGATTCCATATGGCTGTCCCCACACTCAAAAAACAAAATATCCATGTGTAACACAATTGCTGGCCATGCCAATGCTGCTGCCTGGTTCTAAGCAAAAGCTAAGTGTGAAATTTGTCTTCCAAGTGCCCCAGACAACAGCTTACAACATTTTCAACCTCCCATATACCCATTATTATTTGCAAAGGCCTTTACACCGCCCATCAGCCTTTCCCAGATCTTCCCGCTCAGACTCTGTGCTCTCTGAGCCTGCAAAGAAAAAGTGGCTTTACTTCACCCATGGCAAGAATCACCAGCCAGGGGAAAAAGCCACAATTAGAAGCCAACAGCCATGCATGAAAGAAATGCCCAAGAAGAGACGAAGGAGACCCAGAGGGGACCCAAGGGGATTAAAACAAAGAGGAAATTAAATAACCATTTTTTTTCTCTTTGAAAAGAAATGAACTAAAAACCTCTATCCTGTAAATATTCAAAACCTGTGCGCTCTCTCTCTCTCTCTCTCTCTCTCTCTCTCTCTCTCTCTCTCTCTCTCTCTCTCTCTCTCTCTCTCTCCTTCCTCTTTCTTACTCTCTCTCCCTCACTCTTTCTCTCCCTCTCTCCTTCTGTCTCCCTCCTACTCTCTCTTCCCCTCTTGCTCTCCCACTCCCGCTCTCTCTCCCTCCCTCCATCCCTCTTTCCTTCTCTCATTCTCTCTCTTAAAATATTCAGACAGTAAGAAAATTTCAGCTAGGGACTCTCTTGGACATACAGAGAGAAAAAGTTTTATGTTTTCTCCTTCTTCTCATGCCATAATTAGCTTCTAGTAAATAGACTGTACTCTGACTGACTCCCCGTGGAAGAAAATAACTTTTTCTCTGCCTCCTCTAATCTTGTATGAAAATGGCTTGATTCCACTTTATTATTGTCGGTAAAGTACACCTTGTTGTCCACAATCCTCTTTATTCTATCCTTCTTTTCACCCAACCCTCAACTTCAAATGACATGCTCCATATTTCATTATTTCAAAAAATTCACAATGTGAATATGGCTCTCTTCTGGAACCATATTTCAGTCATGTCTCAAGTCACCAAATCTCATTGATATTCATGAGGTCAGATTTGTCCCTGTGTTAGTACGTCCAGCTCGTTTTCCTTGTTAGCTGTACTTTGAGTTATAGCTTTTATAGATGCGGCTGATGTTGTGGATTTTGTCTTTTGTGACCTCCTAAGGGTTGCAGCTCCTTTTCTTCCAACATTGTATCTGCTTCCTATGGTATTTGACTTGGTGGAAATGCACAAACAATTTTTCCCTTCCTCTCTTCTTTTTATCGGTAAAAATCTTTTTGGTCAGATTTACAAGAATCCAGGTAAATCAAATTTATTAGCCCTTCTAGGCATGCTCCATCCTTGCCCAGGAGCCTGTTATTCTCATATTATAAGCCATGGTCCAGACATCTAAACCTCAGTCCCAGACACCATTTCTTTTTTTCTTTAATAGTATTTTATTTTTTTCAATAACATAATGAAGACAATTTTCAACATTCATTTTAAATAAGATTTCAAGTTCCAATTTTTTCTCCCTTCTCCAAGACAGAAAGCAATCTGATATAGGTTATATATGTGCAATCATGTAAAATATATTTCCACATTAGTTATGTTGTGAAAGAAAAAATAGAACAAAAGGAAAAAAACATAAAAAATGAAAATAGTATGCTTTGATCTGCATTCATACTCCATCACTTCTTTTTCTGGATGTGGATAGCATTTTTCATCATGAGTCTTTTGGAATTTTCTCAGATCATTGTATTGTTAAGAAGAGCTAAGTCAATGGTCACTAAGCATGGCACAATACTACTGTTATTGTACACAATGTTCTGGTTCTGCTCACTTCACTCAGCATCAGTTCATGTAAGCCTTTTCAGGTTTCTCTGAAATCTGCCTGCTCATCATTTCTTATAGCACAATAGTATTCCACTACATTCGTATACTACATCTTGTTCAGCCATTCCCCCAATTGGTGGGCATCCCCTCAATTTCCAATCAGACACCATTTCTTAACCAGCTGTTCATCTCCTCATCTATCTTTTCTTTCTCAATCTATTGCATTTCATCAGTAAGAGTAAGGAAAACACCACCTGTGCCCTAAGTTTTTGGTAGAAGGTCAAAGACTTTAATTTTTGGTAACATTTTCTGCCTTTCTTCTAGCAAATTCATGTATACATATATGAATCATCAGAATTGGTAGCAATCATCTGATTTGGCAAGACTTGAGAGGTTCTCTGTCAAATCTTAGATACGTTCTCCAAGAAGATGACATGCCTCTATAAGGATGATCCAGCAGCCTACGTCCCCTAAACCAGTAATATTCATCTCTTCTTCTGACCCTTAGTGGCTGATCTGTTGCCTGAGAGCATATATGGGAAGACTCACATATCTTCCCATGAAGTAAAAAGCAGCTGCTTCTGCTTCTCTTCTAAGGTACAGCTCCCTCCTCTTTAGAAAGAGCCTTCTTTTTGTTTCTTAGCCTCAAGTATTCTCTTGTCCTTCTTACCTTTACAGCCCTGCATGAAGTCTTCCAACCTCCAACACTGAGTCAGGGGTCCTCTTTGCTTCTTTAGAACTATTTTTATTTTGTTTTCGCTTCAGAGCCTTCTTCTCCAAGGCACAAGTCTCAGTTCTTTGGGATTTCAGTTCTTTGAAATTGAAATCTGACAAACTTCTCCCTCTGAACAACAACAGCTCCCTTGGTTCTACCATTATGACAAATTATATCAGTTGGAGATGCAGTTCCATCATGCCACTCTGACTCTGGCTGACTACGAAAAGTGTTCACATTATGGTGGGACTTATGAACTATGTTTTGGCAGTGTTCTATTTATTCCTAAATCCAAGTCATTGTTAAAAATGTCAGATTGAAACAAGTGCACTGGAGGCCTCCTTTCAGGTTGGCCCTTTCGTTTATATTCTGGGGGTCCAGAATTCTCTCTACTCTATC